TATATATATTTCAGTAGATAATATATAGAGATCATATATCTGAATAGCAAATTCATTGATGGAAGTGGCTCTCAAAAAAAAGTGTCCAATTATTCCTTATTTGCAATCTAACAGAACAGCAATTGGTTTGCCATAAGTGACATGAACATTGCAATGATTCGCTAGTGAGATTTTGTGAATGGCATTTCCTGTCCTCTGCTTCTTCACAGATCTCAATGCAAACAGATATTCCCAGCTACTACTGTTAAAAGTATATCTTCTTAACACCTCCCAACACACTTTTTTTTATGTGGGGATATCTGAATTTGTATCTGAGACATGGCCTGGAAGCCTAGCTTTTCCTTGTTCCTTCCCATGCCACAGCCCCAACCCTCTGCATTTAAAATTCCCTCTTCATAGACTGTGGCCAATATTATATTTCAGGTGAGGCTTGTTTTTAATATGACTGGTGTAATAAATGAACAATTTTCTACTGGGGCTCTTGGGGGCCTTTAAGATATTAATTTAGCTATTGCATACCAACACAGGTGGAGAGTATCTGCTTGGGGAAAGCTGATAGAGTTTAGGTCTTCAGCTCCTTAAATAATTTTTATATTTTATGGTGCATAAACACAAGAGATGCCCAGTGTATTCAGCAGTGCATCCAACTCTTTGACACATCTACAAAAACTTCCCACAAGGTCCAGTGCTTTGTGCTGATCCTATTTTATAGAGTTGTGGGATGGACTAATCCTGTTTTACTAAGTTTTGCATAACTTGACAACATGTGACCATTGGGAATTTCTCAGTTTGACTTTTGCTTCGGATCTGACATGAGCAAATGGCCTTAGGCAAGAGGTCTACATCGTAGGATTGTCATAAACAGAACTGAGAAACAGGCCTCAAGTACGTTGAAGGCTCTGAAGTTGTATAAAATGCTGAAGCTATGGGGCACTTTTGTACTGCCTGCCTTTTGTGATTTGATTAACCTTCTCCATCCCCCTTAATCTTAAAAATTGCATTGGGGTGAGGGGAAGCTCCAGCAGTGCTAAACATAAGGCATAATTTCCTCAATGCTTTCAATTTTGATTCACAGTTTTCTCTACATAATGGATACATCATAAATCTTTTGATGAGTTATGCCCATGCAATGAAGTAAATTACCCCAAGAGATGTTGTTTAGGACTTCTGTGTAGTGAATTCTATAGCCCAAAAGGAAACCTAAGCATTCTTCTGCAGGTATATCAGTCCATTTCACAACAGCTGAATGCTTGGCCACAACTGGAATTGTTACATTAGCTGGACCTATCCTGGGAACTTAAAAAGAACATCCAAATCAATTCTCCATTTTCCAAAATTATTTTGATCAATTGTATACATTTCTTATGCTGTTAGACTTTGCAATGTACTGATATGAAAGAACAATTCTTGGTTACAGCTCCTATCTACCACATCCATATATTTTGGTGTTCCTGAATTTATTCTTAAATGAATTGGACTGCAACCCCCATCATCTAGAGTCAGCATTAATCTGGAAATAATAGAATTGTAGTCCAGCATATCTGAAGACTATGGAGTCACAGAAGTGAGTTTCAGTTACTCAAATGGAATAAATCTTGATATGTTCCTTGTAGACAGCCAACCATTTGGGCTAGATATTGTTCCCTTTGTGAATCAATCTGTTTGATTTTATTATTATAGGTAGTCCTCAGTTTAAGAATGAGTTCCATTCCCAAGATCTGTCCTTAAGTCGAATTTGTATGTAAGCTGGAGCAGTATTACTGTATAGTACTGTATAGGTAGTATTGTATAATGAACTCGAACCATTGTGTATTTAACTTGGATCATTGTGTATTTAACTCGAATTTTGCCACAATAGGCTCCGTTCTTAAATATGGGTTGTCTGTAATCTGGGCATTCTTAACCCGGGGACTACCTGTAATTCATAGAAGATACTCAAGAATGAGCATCTACTGATCTTCACAACTGTAACAAACATAGTGATTTGCACTGCTCCCACCCTTCTGATCTTCATAAACTCCTTAAGATGCTGTTGTTCTCCCAGGCTCTGAGCTAGAACAAGAGTGGAGCAACTTTGGTTGATTATTGCCTGCTGGCCTTTTTGGTTTTGGTTTCTGGTTAGCTGTCTTCTTTTTCCTCTTGATATATATATTTTTTTCTTTAATTTTTATCTGTAAGCTGCCCAGAATTGTTATGGCATTGGGCGGCCTCAAAATTGAAATAATAAATAAAAATAATGAATAAATAAATAAAAAGATCAAAGGTCCAGCTTTAGCATTTCAGTATATTATGTCAATATTGGGGATATAAAAGAATTCTATCATCAAGTCCATTGGAAATAAATTTGGACATTCTACTCTCACTGGACATCTGTATGACATGAATGTTAACATTAAAAAAGGTGCATTATTTGGTATTCCTCAATCAAAAGTTTGTAAAACTCATACCCGAAGAGGGCTGAAAGCTATATACAGACAAATTTAAAACTGGGAAATATACATTGAAAAAAGCTCTACATCCAGGGAAATATAGATGTCAGTGAAAATAAATCTGCATTGGAGATTTGAGGAACCTGAAGAATAAATTTTGAAAATGCAGAGAGAAGATTACAGGAGGTGTGCAAGGGAACTGCTGTCTTCCTGAATCTGCTGACAGAAGCAATTCTGCTAGGAGGAACTCTGCGTTAGATTTCATTCCCTATTTGCATTACAGTATTTCATGGCAGAAACTGGAAAGCAGATAGAATTTATGTATATGCTGATGTTCTGGATTAGTGCAGAGCAAAAATTAATGTGCTTGATTAAGCAGCCAAAGGAACCCCCCCCCCAGTCATTTAATTTCTGCAATTTATTACAATCACCTTCTATTTTAGTATTTATTTAGATTCTTTTATCATATTGACTTATAATACAAATGCATACAACAGCACTAAAGAATGAAGAAAATCTCAAGATTAATAAGCACAGTAATAAAAATTAAAAGCGGAAAAAAGAAAAGAACACTTGGAAACTACATTATAAACATCTTAAGCCCTGTTCCTCAAACATACCAAGCCATAACACTATAATTAGAGATAGGATGGGAAATCGCTAAAAGTGACAAACAGTAAGCAAAGCAAGAAAGTGATGTAAAAATACCTCCTTCTACTGCGTAGAAGTTGGCCACAGCCAATGTCCTTTCATCTTTCATTAAGTCCTTGCTTTGACGGTCCAATGCATGCAACATTACTTTATATAACTGATACGGTTGGAGGTTATCTAGGTAACAGAAATTTGATTACTTGGAAATACACAATTAAGAAACAGTATGATTTAAGGAAAAGGAACCGGTTATCAGTAAAAAGCAGTAAAACAAAATGAAGTACATAAATAAATCTGTTACGTCTACATCAGAAGCAAAGGCAGTAAAATGATAATGTATAGATTCAAATAATAGAAATAGCTGTAAGGGATTTTGCTGCACTAAAGGGACTGGGTTCCAATGGATCAAAGCAGAACAATTGACCGAAGGAAGGAGTGGCAACCCAAGGTAAGTACAGAGATCCTCTGGGAGCATCTGGCTGCCATTAATGAGTTTGTTGCTAGGGCCAGCTCAGTTATATCAAGAGACTTGAAGGACCTTGTGGATGTAATCTTAGAGCCTCACTGAAAGAGAAAGTGCACAACAGTTCCACAAGGTGGATTAAGATGTAACACCCAGTACCTTGCTTCTGTACTCAACTACTACCAGTATTTGAAATATTCTGCTTTAAATTTGTATTTGCTGTTGAGGGACTAAGGTTATGCTAACTGCCCAGTTGTCTTGGTTTGGAAGTTAGTTGACAAAACTTAATCTACAGACCAACAAACACCTCAGTCCCATTAGATCTGGCAGAGAAGATATGCTACGGGTTCCATCTGCCAGGGATGTGCATTTGGTGGGTCCCAGGAAGCGGGCCTTCTCTTCCGTGGCTCCTTCCTTGTGGAACATTCTCCCTCCTGAAGTTAGGCTTGCTATTGTTTAGGAAGTCCCTCAAGACCTGATTATGTCATCAGGCCTGGGGGTCTTTGGGAACCGGAGATATTCTTAGTTAGCTCCACTATGATTGATATTCTGCTCTGTTCATGGGGTTTGTATATTTTCAAATTTTTGATAAGATTTTTATTTTAGTAATTACTTATCTTTTTACAATGACTGTTTTTTATTTATTTGCTGTTTTATTTAATCGTTGTACGCCACCCAGAGTTGCTTTGTGTGAGATATGTGGCTATATAAATGTGACAAATAATCAAACAAACAAACAAACAGATAAATGGAAACCAATATGATGAAGGAGGTTTCTAAGGCCAGAAGACCCATGTTTGAAAGCAGGCTTCTTAGGTAACAATAGACACTTGGTATCAGTTGGCTTAAGTGTATCTAATTCTGTGTTAGATTGTGGTCCAAGTCTACACTGATGCAAATATGCAGAGCAGTTCTAACACCCAGTGATTAGATGGTCTTTTGATGCAATTGGAAGTTCATATTCCCATTTCAATCATTATTGTTGCTTTTTTTGTACACATGTATAAAAATGTGCCAGGCCCAAACAGAACTGTAAACCGATCTTCTCATGTGGTTTCCTAAGATTAAGAAGAAAAGCAAAATTCTACTTTTATCATGTTATAAAAATGACATTACCAAGTATTAAGTTTGTCTCATTTTGACACAAACATTTAGATTTCATGTCTTCTATTCCAGTGCCCCAGTCAATAGCAAGGCAATCAGGGTTATATTTTAGCTTCCAGGTTATAGTGGTATAATTTTGCTGATTTGAGATAATGATACGACCAGGTAAATCTGTAAGAGTAAGGAGAAATGTTAATAAATAAGAGACCATTCTTCAAATAAAATTCACTCTTAATCCCCGTATGGGAGAAATCCTTATTTTTTTCTGCAGAATAAGCTGAAAGGATGGGTACAAATGGAATCAAATATATAATATTCCACTCTATGGTTTGAACTTCACATGATGTGCTAATGCTACAGGGCCTAAACAAATTGAATTCTATGTTGGATTATTCCATGGATTCAGAGATAATAAAACAGAAAAACCTGAAGCAAGAAAGCATTTTTAAAAATTGATTTTCCCATAGTTTGTTGTCTTAAACTTAAAAATATAAATGGAAAGTTTTAATGGTCATTGTTTCTTGATGTTCTTCTTCTAAAAGACTATTTTACCTGAATATGTGGAAATGAATTCTGGAACGATGTATGTCACTGAAAAGGAGTTTCCTAGTTCATTATGGGCAGTGATTTCGATTCTGTAAGTTGCCATTGAGAGATTCAGATGCAGCCAAGCCTTCTTTAGGTTGAGGGATGTTACTCCCTGGAAGGGGTCAGGCATTCTCTTAATATTTATAAAATACCCAATGGTATGCCTGCTTTCACATGTCTAGAACAGACAAATACCAGCACTGAACAATTAAGCACAACAGTAATATTATAGATAGGGTGAAATTTGTACATAATGCAAAAGCAACCAAAGTAAATTATGTAATTTATTTTTCACTGACAGATATCATTAACCATGACTTCATTAAATGGTTTTCAATATCAATTTTTCTTGAATATATTTAATTATCTGGCTGCAGTTAGCTTCTGTGTTTCTATGCCTTTATAGAATACAGCTTAATAAACTGGTTTCTTGGATGGGAAACAAGTGATATGAATGTGGGCTTCCTCTCATCTTTTACTTTTAAACTTTCTAAACCATAGTTTTCTAATTCAGATGTCAGGGAAGCTATAATTAAACAAACCAAGGATGATTGAGGTAAGGATTCAATAGAGGTTGGAGTGGGAAAGGAGGCAGGGGGAGTACCCAGCCACATAGTTCATTCCAAAGAAAAATATTATCTGTGGGCTTAAATATCTTTTGGACATCCACTACATTGCAATAATTGTTTACAAGAATCTCACCAGTTTTATAACTCTGTGAAAGTTATAAATCCTGTGATACTACTAGAATATGGAGGCCCTTGATTCAAAGTTCTGCTGAGAGATTGATTTTGACATATTATCTTGAGGGTTTTTATGAGACAACAGCAAGAGAAAAACATTTGTTCATGTACATCATCTTGAGCTCCATGGGGTGGGAGAACAAGAAAAAGGCAATAGATAATTATGAAAATAAATATATACCTTCCATGTAAGAAAGAGACTTCTTTTCCCTTGTGAGATTTCTTCAGTTATATTTCCCAAAACTGTTGGCTTTTTAGTAAGTTCTGTTAAAGGACAATAGTACATCAAGTCTCATTTCAGAAGCGTATGCATGCTCTTTCATAAAATCATAAGTGAAACTTTGAAATTAATTAATAACGTTGTCTTGTCAATTACTCAACATGACACTCACTATATGGGATACTAATTTCCTTGCTCCAAAGACAAACAGAACATCCATTACTCCTGGGTATGCATCTGAGATGAACCATGTAGGATGCTGCTGGGTTTACATCAGAGATAGTTACATTAAAGGCTTTCATCTTCATGGGGACCTGCAAAGAGGTTTGAGATAAAAGTACCCTCAACACAACCATACCATTTTCTTGGAAATGGTTTGCCATTGGCCCCTTCATACAGGCCTTCCCTGTAGGGATACTGTATACATTGTTCTGCCTTTATCCCATTTCTTTTAAGCATTTTAATACAGAACGCTTTAATTATTATAATTTCACATTATCTAGAGTTTTGTACTCTAGTGAGTTGTATTTTTAAAATTACAAATGTTGTTCTGAGGTGCTCTGAGCCTAGAAAGCAATACAAAAACAGAAAAAATTAACAAATTAAAATGAAATCCCCCAAAGTGATCCCATTAAGTTCAATGGACTTATTCTTAGGTAAATGGATACAAAACTGAGCCCTTCCAGCATAATTTGATGTGCTTTAGTAATAAGTTACTCTAGTAAATGGGGCTAATAATTGTTTATAGAGGAGTCCATTTAGGCTACAGTCCTTAGTCAACATCCCAAAGACCTCAGAACAGAAAATCAGATCCACTCTTACAAACATCCTGTTTGCCAAGATACAGAAATCTCACTGAGTATACTGCTTTGTGGTCAGTTCACCAATGTTGTTAGCAGCGATAGATGGCAGATCTAAGTTGATTCAGAATGAGAGAAAGTACAGCAACCCGTACTTGGGTATCCCTCCAAATTAACATTGTGTTTTTTTTCTGATGGCTTTTATACTTGATTTTTATTGTTGTTTGCTGCTCAGAGTCATCTGGAGTTGGGCAGCCTTATAAATATGATTTATAAATAAATAAACCAACCAATCAACCAACCAACCAACCAACCAACCAACCAACCAACCCCTGGAGCTAGTGTACTTCTTTCCCCTCCCGTTTTGCCCTGATGGGGTGAATTTGTTAGTCTATTAACATATATCTCCTTCCTCTACCTTCTGGATTGTTCTGTAAGACTTATTTAATTGGGTGAGACCACCTTTGTACCAAGTATATCTCTTTTAGAAGCATGAGACTGAAGGTCAGAAATGAAGCTGCTGGCCAGCTCAGAAAGTGAAAGGATACCAAGGAACAGATGTCAAACAGTCTCTTTTGAAATGTGAGGTTTAGAAACTCTTTTAAAAAGCTGAAGAAATAAGCAAAGAACTGTGGAATTAAACTGGTTTTCACTGGAACTCCAATAGAAAATCACATGGAAGATATCTAGATTTTCCGACAATGAGAACATTTTCTGTCCCACATCTGCTGAAAGATACCTACCGGTATCCAGGGTGAGATTCTTTGCGTCGCTTCCTTGTATTGCAATTCATATTGTAGTATATGTCGTGGGGACTCCCATGTTATTATTAGCTTATTGAATAATTGATATGCTTTTATGTTGAAGGGTGAGGGACATTTTTCTAGAATAGAAAAAGCACAAAAGTCATTGATTTGTATGAGCTCCAAAACACCTAATGTGGGTGGTGAGGTATCAGTCTACAGCAGGTAGGAATACCCAACTCACTTTGACTGATCTCAAAAACCTAAAGAGGGTTGAAAGCGGCAGCTTTGATGGGAAACCACCAGAAAGGGTAGGCTAGACTGAGAAGTCAAAAAACATTCTGGAAGAAGCCAGTAGCAGACCACTTCCGTATTGTTCTCAAGAAAACTACAGGGATGTATCCATGAAGTCACCATAATAAAAGCTCAGTTCAAAGGACACCTCCCCTTGGATGACAGAGGAGATAGGAAGCCTTCTCAGTGATGAGAGCATGTTCACCATGACATTTTGCAGCATAGTCACTCTGCAGTGAAATGGGCAATGACAAATTTGAAATATAAATAAATATAAATATAATTTCAAATTGGCATTATAACATTTAGCATACACACACGTGTGTGTGTATATAATGACGCTAATATACCATACTGTTTCTAATAATATAATGCAAATTTACATATAAAAAGTGGTAAAGAAATATGTGATTCATCACTATTAACTACTTTTTCAAATGGTGGTAATTAGAGAGTGACCTTTCCCCCAACATTTTTTTAAAAACACAGGGCTACTATTTGATATATTTTTATTCTCCTTTTCCAAATAGAATAAAAGGTAGCATGCTGGGCATTTCCTCCTTGAATTTTCCCTCATAAAAATCCTAAAAAGTAGGCTGGGCTAGGCAGTTCTGGGGATTAAAACACCAACTAGTTTCCATAGCTGATGGCAGAAATGTATTTGGCTTCCCAGTTCTAGTTCAAAACTTTAATTTCTACACATCACTGGCTTATCATATTATGGTGTGATACAAGTAGTCCTTGACTTACAACCACAATTGGGACCAGAACTTCTGTCACTAAGAGATGCGGTTGTTAAGTGAGTTGTGCCCAATTTTATGACCTTCTTTGCTGTGGTCATTAAGCGAATCACCATGGTCATTAAATGAATCTGGCTTCCCCCATTGACTTTGCTTGTCAGAAGCCCCCTGGGAAGGTTGCAAATGGAGATCGCATGACCCTGGGACACTGCAACTGTCATAAATACATGCCGGTTGCCAAGCGCCCAAGTTTTGATCACATGACCACGGGGACGCTGTGCAGTTGAAAGTGTGAGAACCAGCTGTAAGGCACTTTTTACAGCACTGTCGTAACTTCAAACAGTCATTACATGAATGGTCCTAAGTCGAGGACTACCTGTAATGTTTTCACCAAATAGCATGTCAATATCTTTTTAATATATAACTGGGAAATTACTATTTCAGTGGTAATTAAAAGGTTACAAATCTTATAAAATAAATAAAAATGTGAAAGGAAAACAATTTCTTAACCTAAGGCAGATTGGAACTGGCTTGCATACACATTAAAACACAACACTAGTCATTATATCATTCCAGCTTGGGCTATTGCAGTTGTCTTCAAAATAAACACCAGTAGTAATAGTAGTAATAATAATCATCATAATGCGAGAACTTGCACACAATGTATTTAAAATACTGAAAATCTTGTGAGATTGCTAGAATTTATGAGATTTAGTGTTTTCACTTGGTGAATTTAGGAATAAACGTAAAATCATGAAATTTTAAATGTGAAACATGAAATTTCAGCATGTTCGTTTTATGTTACGGCACACGCCTGATTGTGTTGCATTATAGGACCAAATGCTATTGCTTTCCTTGATTGGTGTCTTAGCTAATTGTGCAATAGTGGTTTACCTGATAAACCATGATTCATCAAACTATAGTTTAGTTGATATGTGAATCTACCAACAGACCAAAAAAGAAAGAAGAAAATGATGCTGACATAATATTTACCAGTTAGGTCATAAAGCAAATGTGAGGGGAGACAAGGTTGCTTACAAACAGCAATAACATTTGTTTTTCACAATTTCTGCAGCTCCAGAGAATTAAAGAAAAGATCAGTAAACACTGAGTAAAGGTATCTCACCTATTTTGCTAGGAATAATTGAAATTTTCTTTGTTGTCACACAGCTTTCATGGGAATAACTCGCTGTTACCCATATAGTCACATTTGAATTTATAAGAATGCATTTCCGTTCTTTCGTGATAGGAGATGAAGCCCTTTCTATCTTCTCACAACACTGAGGATGCCTGCAGGTGAAGGGGAACCATAAAACATATTTTAATTATACACAGACTAAGGACAACATAACTAAAAAAAAGCTATATTTAAAAACATATTTACGTAGGTTAAGGAAAAAATATTTAACTGAGATACTACATTTTTAAGAACTAAACAGAAAAACATGAGAAAAACACGAAAAAGAAAAAAAAATACTCAAAACATTGATTAAAAGATTTAACTGAAAAAGGAAATCAAAGTAAAAAAGAATCTGAAAAATACCCCCTAAAAATACCACATAAAGAACTTCCACATACCAAAAATACTGTATAGAAATTCCCCTTCCCCAACCCAAGGTGGCCCATTTCTCTATAAAGAAATAGAAAGAAAAATATTAAATATATAAAAAGACTATGACATCTTTGCTTCAAATAATCTCATTTCTCTGCAGTCCCTGGATCAAAAACATCTTTCCACTAGAATCCAGGGACGAACAAAAATGCTGGAAAAAGAAAACAAGTTTAATTGCCTTTTGTTCTGCTATCAAACAAGCTTTATTGAATAGCTCGCACTTCTGAACCATTTGTGGAAGCAGATCTGGAAAATAATTATTTCCTTTGAATTCCATTCCATAGATCCTGTTTGCAGAGATAATGATCCCATACTCTTGTTCTTTAAAGCAGGGTTCCTCAACCTTGGCAACTTTAAGACGGGTGGACTTCAGGGATTCTGGGAGTTGAAGTCCACCTGTCTTAAAGTTGCCAAGGTTGAGGAATCCTGCTTTAAAAAACTCACAGCAATAGGGTTGAGTTTCTATACTGAATGGAAATGGAAACCCGCAACATCAGCAGTTTCAGTTTCCCACTCTTTCTGGATATGATACCAGACAGTGCCCAGATCATCACTGTACTTGTGTTACACCTTCTCCATGTAGGTGTTTCAGCAATGTTGCCCTCTCCCTGAATCCCATTTTGATGTGCAAGCCACCCAGATATTGAACTTTCAACCTGGTAGTATTTTGGTCTTCAAACATCAGGAGCCCTTGAATGCTATTTTGTTTGTTCACTGAATTGCTTTATGATTTTATGATTTCCTGTTATGTAGAATTGCTAGTTGCTGCTCTTAGTACAATTACTTAAAATGACATTGGGATCTTTCACTGCCTAATCTTGCCACCTCATCATATAGAGAAGAAGCAGGATTGGAGAGAGTTGTCTTTGTCTGCAGGTGCTTTAAAGTGAAATTAGACATATTTGTTTGCCTTAGCAAGAACCACAGGAAAGATCAATTTAATGTTATAAGCCAGAAGGACAAACTGCTGTCACCTTCTGATGAAAAATTGCATTAGAAATCTCCAGCCATGGCAAAGAATTGAATAAACAACTGAATATAACAGCTAGACTGGACAAGGCTGAGAGACTGGGTCACTGCTTTAAGGTCAGATGTGACTCAGCATGATCAGAGTCAGATCTTCACCCAGGCCTTTGGTGAGGGAGAGGGAGACCCCTTGCTTCGTTTCTATCTAGTCTGTCATGTTTACCATCTTTTACCCTTTTTCCTTTTTTAAAAATCGGTTTTATTGTAATTTCCTTTTTTGGATTGTTGTAAACTATCCAGAGTCATTGTGAGTTGGGCAATGTACAAGTTCAATAAATAAAGAAATAAAGAAATAATAAAATCATGCAAGTATGACCATCCAGATTTTACAGCACGTCAACTTTGGCTTGTCTTTTCTAATGGCCAATTATATCCAGAAGCACCACACAGTAAACAAACCTAAAGATTTACTATATATCTATCAAGATTAGGTTTGAGTGATCAGAAATGCCTACTTTGAGACCTTAAGAAGGGGTCTGGAAGTACAGGATACTTAGCTTGGAGAACAGAAGATTGTGGGGAGTTGTGATAGTTACTTTCAAGTATCTGAAGGACTTTTAGGTAAGAAGATGGGGCAGAATTATAGAGTTGTTCAAGAAGACAGAACATGAATCAGTGGGTTTTAATTACAAGGAAGCAAATTTTAGTTAGGTATAAGGAAGCATTTCCTAACAGTATCAGCTGTTCAATAGTGGAACAGACAGCCTAGGGAGTAATGGACTCTCATTCACTGGAGGTCTGGAAACAGAGGCTAGATGGCCAATGATCTGGGATGCTACACTAAAGGATTCCTGCACTGTGCCGATGGTTGGATTAGATGGTCCCTTCTAATCCTCACATTCTGTGATACAGACCCTGTCAATGGGTTGCTTCATTTTAATTATCTTTATTTACCTCACTATTTTAATGATACGGCATGTTGATCAGAAGCTGGTGACTCTTGCTTCTGATATGAGCCAATCAATAAGGTTTTTAATTCTGCCTTTTTTGATCTAGACAATCAAGTCTCTGCTTCATCTCTAAAAAGTTCTATTTCCTTTCATCCATCCACACTTCCATCGGCATTAATTCAGTCATTCTAGAAGACTATAAATCAAAGGAATGAGTTTCTTCCTCTACTATTTTCTCTCACCGAGCAGAAATAAATTCTGAAAGGGGAAGGAAGAGGGAGTACTTCTCATTTTCTCTTTCTTCTTGACTTCAGATCCATAATTTATCATTACCAAGAGTAATTTAAAACATGACGGGTAAAAGGAATTTTTTGCTTAACAATTAAGCAGTCAAAAGATGATGAGATAATCCCTTAACCTGAGAGAGGACCGAGTTCATAAATTTAGCACCTTTCTATATCAAGTTCTTATAAGATCTCATGTACAAAAATCAGAATCTTAAATGGTAAATCAATCTCTCTCTCTCTCTCTCTCTCTCCCCCCCCCCCCCCC